GTTGTATGTGTGTGGTTGTGTGTGTGTGTGTGTGTGTGTGGTGTTGTGTGATGTGTGTGGGTGTGTGTGAGAGTGTGCATGTGTGTGTGTGTATGTGCGTGTGTGTGTGTGTGTGAGAGTGTGTATGTGTGTGTGTGTATGTGTGTGTGTGTGTGTGTGTGTGAGAGTGTGTATGTGTGTGTGTGTATGTGTGTGCGTGTGTGTATGTGTGTGTGTGTATGTGTGTGCGTGTGTGTATGTGTGTGAGAGTGTGCGTGTGCATGTGAGTGTGTATGTGTGTGCGTGTGTGTATGTGTGTGAGAGTGTGCGTGTGCGTGTGAGTGTGCGTACCTTGGGGTAGTCCAGGGTGAAGAAGGTCTCCAGGTTGCTGATCAGGTTGGGGTCGACGCCCTTCAGCGGTTTGAGCAGAGAGACTCCGGCCATCTGACCTTTGACCTCCGACCTCTTCCTGTGCAGGTGCAGACGCCTGGGGGGGGGGGGGGGGGAGGAGAACAATGTTTATACAGGAACAAACTGTGAGGAAACCAGGAGACGTGAAGTATGTAGTGTCTCTACTTTAAAGAGTCCTCTCCTGCTGATGTTCAGGTGTATATCAGTATGTAGTGTCTCTACTTTAAAGAGTCCTCTCCTGCTGATGTTCAGGTGTATATCAGTATGTAGTGTCTCTACTTTAAAGAGTCCTTCTCCTGCTGATGTTCAGGTGTATATCAGTATGTAGTGTCTCTACTTTAAAGAGTCCTCTCCTGCTGATGCTCAGGTGTATATCAGTATGTAGTGTCTCTACTTTAAAGAGTCCTCTCCTGCTGATGCTCAGGTGTATATCAGTATGTAGTGTCTCTACTTTAAAGAGTCCTCTCCTGCTGATGTTCAGGTGTATATCAGTATGTAGTGTCTCTACTTTAAAGAGTCCTCTCCTGTTGATGTTCAGGTGTATATCAGTATGTAGTGTCTCTACTTTAAAGAGTCCTCTCCTGCTGATGTTCAGGTGTATATCAGTATGTAGTGTCTCTACTTTAAAGAGTCCTCTCCTGCTGATGTTCAGGTGTATATCAGTATGTAGTGTCTCTACTTTAAAGAGTCCTCTCCTGCTGATGTTCAGGTGTATATCAGTATGTAGTGTCTCTACTTTAAAGAGTCCTCTCCTGCTGATGTTCAGGTGTATATCAGTATGTAGTGTCTCTACTTTAAAGAGTCCTCTCCTGCTGATGTTCAGGTGTATATCAGTATGTAGTGTCTCTACTTTAAAGAGTCCTCTCCTGCTGATGTTCAGGTGTATATCAGTATGTAGTGTCTCTACTTTAAAGAGTCCTCTCCTGCTGATGTTCAGGTGTATATCAGTATGTAGTGTCTCTACTTTAAAGAGTCCTCTCCTGCTGATGCTCAGGTGTATATCAGTATGTAGTGTCTCTACTTTAAAGAGTCCTCTCCAGCTGATGTTCAGGTGTATATCAGTGTGTAGTGTCTCTACTTTAAAGAGTCCTCTCCCGCTGATGTTCAGGTGTATATCAGTATGTAGTGTCTCTACTTTAAAGAGTCCTATCCTGCTGATGTTCAGGTGTATATCAGTATGTAGTGTCTCTACTTTAAAGAGTCCTCTCCTGCTGATGCTCAGGTGTATATCAGTATGTAGTGTCTCTACTTTAAAGAGTCCTCTCCTGCTGATGCTCAGGTGTATATCAGTATGTAGTGTCTCTACTTTAAAGAGTCCTCTCCTGCTGATGTTCAGATGTATATCAGTGTGTAGTGTCTCTACTTTAAAGAGTCCTCTCCAGCTGATGTTCAGGTGTATATCAGTATGTAGTGTCTCTCCTTTAAAGAGTCATCTCCTGCTGATGTTCAGGTGTATATCAGTATGTAGTGTCTCTACTTTAAAGAGTCCTCTCCTGCTGATGTTCAGGTGTATATCAGTATGTAGTGTCTCTACTTTAAAGAGTCCTCTCCTGCTGATGTTCAGGTGTATATCAGTATGTAGTGTCTCTACTTTAAAGAGTCCTCTCCTGCTGATGTTCAGGTGTATATCAGTATGTAGTGTCTCTACTTTAAAGAGTCCTCTCCTGCTGATGTTCAGGTGTATATCAGTATGTAGCGTCTCTACTTTAAAGAGTCCTCTCCTGCTGATGTTCAGGTGTATATCAGTATGTAGTGTCTCTACTTTAAAGAGTCCTCTCCAGCTGATGTTCAGGTGTATATCAGTGTGTAGTGTCTCTACTTTAAAGAGTCCTCTCCTGCTGATGTTCAGGTGTATATCAGTATGTAGTGTCTCTACTTTAAAGAGTCCTCTCCAGCTGATGTTCAGGTGTATATCAGTGTGTAGTGTCTCTACTTTAAAGAGTCCTCTCCTGCTGATGTTCAGGTGTATATCAGCATGTAGTGTCTCTACTTTAAAGAGTCCTCTCCTGCTGATGTCCAGGTGTATATCAGTATGTAGTGTCTCTACTTTAAAGAGTCCTCTCCTGCTGATGTTCAGGTGTATATCAGTGTGTAGTGTCTCTACTTTAAAGAGTCCTCTCCTGCTGATGTTCAGGTGTATATCAGCATGTAGTGTCTCTACTTTAAAGAGTCCTCTCCTGCTGATGTCCAGGTGTATATCAGTATGTAGTGTCTCTACTTTAAAGAGTCCTCTCCTGCTGATGTTCAGGTGTATATCAGTGTGTAGTGTCTCTACTTTAAAGAGTCCTCTCCTGCTGATGTTCAGGTGTATATCAGTATGTACTGTCTCTACTTAAAGAGTCCTCTCCTGCTGATGTCAGGTGTATATCAGTATGTAGTGTCTCTACTTTAAAGAGGTCCTCTCTGCTGAGGTTCAGGTGTATATCAGTATGTACTGTCTCTACTTTAAAGAGTCCTCTCCTGCTGATGCTCAGGTGTATATCAGTATGTACTGTCTCTACTTTAAAGAGTCCTCTCCTGCTGATGTTCAGGTGTATATCAGTATGTAGTGTCTCTACTTTAAAGAGTCCTCTCCTGCTGATGTTCAGGTGTATATCAGTATGTAGTGTCTCTACTTTAAAGAGTCCTCTCCTGCTGATGTTCAGGTGTATATCAGTATGTAGTGTCTCTACTTTAAAGAGTCCTCTCCTGCTGATGTTCAGGTGTATATCAGTATGTAGTGTCTCTACTTTAAAGAGTCCTCTCCTGCTGATGTTCAGGTGTATATCAGTATGTAGTGTCTCTACTTTAAAGAGTCCTCTCCTGCTTGATGTCAGGTGTATATCAGTATGTAGTGTCTCTATTTTAAAGAGTCCTCTCCTGTTGATGTCAGGTGTATATCAGTATGTAGTGTCTCTACTTTAAAGAGTCCTCTCCTGCTGATGTTCAGGTGTATATCAGTATGTAGTGTCTCTACTTTAAAGAGTCCTCTCCTGCTGATGTTCAGGTGTATATCAGTAGTTAGTGTCTCTACTTTAAAGAGTCCTCTCCTGCTGATGTTCAGGTGTATATCAGTAGTTAGTGTCTCTACTTTAAAGAGTCCTCTCCTGCTGATGTTCAGGTGTATATCAGTATGTAGTGTCTCTACTTTAAAGAGTCCTCTCCGCTGTTATAAGCTGATAGAGGAACAGGAAATAACAGCAGAACCGTTTAATAACCAGCTGCTTCTGTTTAATGGATATCATTAATAACTGAAGCTACAGAGCTAACAGTTAGCAGTAACAGTTAGCAGCAGAGCTAACAGTTAACAATAACAGTTAACAATAACAGTTAGCAGCAGAGCTACCAGTTAACAATAACAGTTAGCAGCAGAGCTAACAGTTAACAGTAATGGTTAGCAGCAGAGCTAGCAGTTAACAATAACAGTTAGCAGCAGAGCTAACAGTTAACAGTAATGGTTAGCAGCAGAGCTAACAGTTAACAGTAATGGTTAGCAGCAGAGCTAGCAGTTAACAGTAATGGTTAGCAGCAGAGCTAGCAGTTAACAATAACAGTTAGCAGCAGAGCTACCAGTTAACAGTAATGGTTAGCAGCAGAGCTAACAGTTAACAGTAATGGTTAGCAGCAGAGCTAGCAGTTAACAATAACAGTTAGCAGCAGAGCTAACAGTTAACAGTAATGGTTACCAGCAGAGCTAACAGTTAACAGTAATGGTTAGCAGCAGAGCTAACAGTTAACAGTAATGGTTAGCAGCAGAGCTACCAGTTAACAGTAATGGTTAGCAGCAGAGCTAACAGTTAACAGTAATGGTTAGCAGCAGAGCTACCAGTTAACAGTAATGGTTAGCAGCAGAGCTAACAGTTAACAGTAATGGTTAGCAGCAGAGCTAACAGTTAACAGTAATGGCTAGCAGCAGAGCTAACAGTTAACAGTAATGGCTAGCAGCTAACTGACAGGAAAACGCCCCACCCGGCTGTACCCCCGCGGGATATCTGTCTCTATACAGCTAATCTATAATAACACAGAGAGGAGCTCTGCTAACGGGGAGCTAGCGGAGCCTAGCCTAGCCTCACACACAAATATGAGGGACATGGCAAATTGTTAGCTTAGCCTATCTTAGCATCACTCACACATAGATGATGGACATGAAGTGCATGAGCCACAGGACGCCGAACAGGATGAAGCCGAACACGGCCAGGCCCTGCAGGCACAGATCCAGCAGCGACATGGGGACCAGAGGAGGGGAGAGACCCGAGGAGAGAGAGGGGATCGAGGAGCCGGGGAGGGGAGAGAGGAGAGAGACGGGAGAGACCAGAGGAAGGGAGCCGAGGACCGGGGAGAGAGAGAGGAGAGGAGCCGAGGATCGGGGAAGAGAGAGCTGAGGGGAGAGCTGAGGGGAGAGCTCGGCTTGTTCCAGGAGCTCCACAGAGAGGTTCGAGACCGGCTCGGTGGTGGGTCCGGATCTCGTCGGGTCCGGATCTCGTCGGGTCCGGGTCTCAGTGGTGGGTCCGGGTCTCAGTGGTGGGTCCGGGTCTCAGTGGTAGGTCCGGGTCTCAGTGGGTCCAGGTCTCGGTGCTAAGCTGCGGGCTTGATGTCACCAGACCGCCCGACGGTCAGCTGACCAACCGGGGAGAGCTGTAGCAACAGCGAGCTATCCGGTCCCCTTCAAAATAAAAGCTGCCTTTTTATCAGATGTTCTATTAGCCGCGTTCACACCAAGTACTTTCCTGTACTTAGTTCCGGCACTAAGAGCCCTGGCGCTTTTAACCCCAGGGTACTTAGTACAGATCGCGTTCACACCGGAGTACTTTTCCCTGAGGGAAGATTACAAGTACAGTAGGTGGCGGTAAGCACCTTAAAGTTGTTTGCAACCCGCTACAAAACAAGAGAAGAAGAAAAACTGATACAGGATCTGTTTAATCGCCATGTCGGTTTTCTTTATTGCACTCTCAAGACATAACATTAAATAGAAATATTTTAAATGTAACTAAAGTGTCAGTTGTACATGTCAGTAAACATTGTCAATATAAAATAAAGTGTCAGTTGTACTATATAATAACAGTAATAACAATATAAAATAAACTCCCAGCTGTAGGGAGTCTCAGCAGCAAACCCACCTTTATTATATATCTTCCTGAGACCCACTGCATCCGTCTGCCATAAACACTATGCAAACATACATGTTAGTTTTGGCCCATAGTGGACTCCATGTTGTGTTGTGTGAAATGGGGGGAATTAAAAGTTTAGGTCAAATAATATTTAAAATGATATAAATTATCATATTTGTGTATGTGCCCCTGCCATTCCCCCACAAGGTTGCAACATTGATGATAAATAAATGACAAATAAAGCTTTGCCAGTTTATAACCGATGAAACATGATGGTATCAGAATAATCACTTACATGTGATGTATAGGATGCTACACAGGTCACAAAAGATAAAGTGTCAGGAGAAATAAGCTTAATCGCCATGTCGGTTTTCTTTATTGCACTCTCAAGACATAACATTAAATAGAACAATTTTAAATGTAAATAAAGTGTCAGTTGTACATGTCAGTAAACATTATATATAAAATAAAGTCATAACAGTAATAACAATATAAAATAAACTGTCCCAGGTGTAGGGATATTCCCAGCAGCATGCACACCTTAGTGCAACGTTGTGTGTCAGTATTTACAAAAACTATACCAAATAAACTGTTATTAAATGCAGTTTGTCGCTCATCCTGCCGCTGCGCCGACGCTTCCTCATGGCGCAGCGCCCACACTTCATCCTGGTGCTGCTGGCGCTCCATCTGCTGCTTGAACACTTCTGCCTGGCGCTCCATCGAGGTGAGCATCTTGTCCTCCGTTTCCTGGGCCTTGGTGAACAGCACCATCTGATCTCCACGCAGCGACTCATTCACCACGGCACGCCGGTCCTCCAACGCCTGGGCGGGTGTCAAAGAAATTCGCATCCCGTGTCCGCTTTCCTAAGAGGGGAAAATAAGCAATATACAATATACAAGTTTAGTCGCCATGTAGTTTTACAACATACTAGGAATGTGTTTTTTGTATTTTCACAAATAGAATTAAGGTTTCACAAATCTGAAACTGTGTTATAAAGAATCTTTTGACTCTCTGGGATAATCCAGTCCAGATTTGATGAGTGTAGGTATAGTGGTTTTACATCAGGACCTGGTCTAATGTGGTCTACATGTAAAAAAAGCACTGAAATCTCCCTTTTTTGTATTTTCACAAATAGAATTAAGGTTTCACAAATCTGAAACTGTGTTATAAAGAATGTTTGGCCTCTCTGGGATAATCCAGTCCAAATAAATCGGCTATGCAGCGATTCAAGAGGTTCAAACACGGAGGATTGTTCCTTTTTGAAGAGTGCTTCATGTATGCTTGAACTTTGTTTAATGTTGTTGAGGCAAGTTAAACATAAAATATGATGAATATTATGAAATAAACATGATTGTGAACATCAGTTCGATGCGTAACGTTCTTTCAAGACAAAATTACAGTGTGTGTACCTTTGCGTTTGGTTGCTGGTAAGGAGGACGACAAAGCGCTGTGATCTAGAATGCAAAGCTCACTTGTTTCCAATCCCGAGAGTTGTCCATCCTCGCCTGAAACAGACGATTAGTGCCATGAGTTAGTGAAGCAAATTACAGAAACACTGCACAGTTATTCACAAGTCAAAACGTTTTCATACAGCGGAGAATATCTAGCTAGCTAGATGTAGCTAGCCGGGGCCGGTGTTAGCCTATTATGGCTAGCATGGCTAGCTTGATCTACTGAGCAAATAAAAGTACATCTGAGACCATTATTGTGCAGATTAAAACCCCAGTGCATGTAGTTGATTTTACCTTCATCGTGGTAGTCATCGTTGGCCACTGAATCCGCCGTTTGTAGTCCTGAGTTTCTTTATATTTAGCCGGCTGTGCACAATTCCCAGGTCGAGTGAAAGCTACCGAACTGGCTTCAGTAGCATTCCCTGGGTCGCCTCCTCGGCGTAGATCTCCAGAAGCGCCGACACCTCCTCATCATTTCTTGATGCTTGCCATAACTGCTTTCAAAAACAAACACAACGCACGGAGCGTTGTGTTTTTGTAGCGAGGAAAAACAATGGCGTCTCCACACAACATTTTCAGAGTTGTACGGGCGTGGTTTGCAATTCGCCCAGCCAATCAGCACTGGGGCACTTTTGGAGCTCTTTTCACCCACAGAAAAGTACGCTCTCTGAGCTGGCTCTAAAAATGGGGGTAAAAGTACCCGAGATTAAGTACGATTTTTGGTGTGAACGCGACATAAGGGGTACTCACGGAACTAAAACGCGAAAAGTACGGTGAAAGTACTCCGGTGTGAACGCGGCTATTGTTTGTGAGGTCTGGTTTTTATTTTCATGTTCTACTTTATTGTGGTGATATAAAAAGTCGAAAATAACAGCTTTGATTAAAATACTGTTAATGTAATAAAAACACATGCGTTCACACTCGGTGGATAATAAAGAATATATAACCACTAGTGCTACTAATATATTAATATATATATACATGAATGAGAACAGCTGCACGGTGTGAACCAACCAGCACTCACCATCAGGCCTGTTCAGAGGACCTGCAGGTGAAACTCCCATCATGCATCTCTGCCTCACCACCAGGGGGTGTTTCTCAATCTCGAGTAAAGCTGCTCCAGAGCCACTATTTCAAGCATACTACGTCATCGAGTGCCGCCGAAGTACTGTTCCAATGTCCAGCATACTTGGAAATCTACCGAGCCCGGCGTACTCGAGATTGAGAAACACCCAGGAAAGCACTCTGAAACTCCCATCATGCATTTCACCCGCCTCTCAGACCTCCTAGGTGTCACTGGCACAGCGCTGTCCTGGTTCACATCCTACCTCCATAACAGGAAACAGTTTGTCTCCATCAGTGGCTCAAACTCACCCCCGGCCCCAGTCCACCACGGTGTACCCCAGGGCTCTGTGCTTGGCCCCCTCCTGTTCACCATTTACATGCTCCCCCTCGGCCAGATCATCCGACATCATGGACTCAATTTCCACTGTTACGCTGATGATACCCAACTGTACCTCAGCACCACTCCATCCTCCCAGCTCCCCCCTCAGTCCCTCATCAACTGCCTGCATGACATCAAAACCTGGATGTTTTCTAACTACCTTAAGCTGAACAGCAATAAAACAGAGCTCATGGTTGTGGCACCCAAGGCCCTGCTCCAGAAGGTTGGTGACTTCATCCTCGAGGTCGACGGCTGCTCCATCTCCCCATCTCCTGAAGCCCGCAACCTGGGTGTCATCCTTGACTCCACCCTTTCCTTCCATTCCCACGTCAAATCTGTCACCAAATCGGCCTTTTTCCACCTGAGGAACATTGCCAGACTCCGACCGTCACTCTCGGAGTCGGTTGCCGAAACCCTAGTTCATGCATTTGTCACCACCCGCTTGGACTACTGCAATGGTGTCCTGTTCGGGGTTCCCAACAAAACCCTGGACAGGCTCCAGTATGTCCAAAACTGTGCTGCTAGGGTACTCACACACACAAAGCCGTGGCAGCACATCACTCCCACCCTCATCCACCTCCACTGGCTGCCGGTCAAGTCCCGTATATCTTACAAAGTCCTCCTCCTTACCTACAAGTCCCTCCATGCCCATGCCCCCCAGTACCTATCGGACATCCTTCACCCACATGCCCCACCCCGGAACCTGCGGTCCTCAGACTCTGGCCTGCTCACCACCCCCCGCACCAACCTGCGAACCTTCGGGGACAGAGCCTACAGTGTGGCAGCCCCCACCCTCTGGAACACTCTCCCTGCGGAGATTCGCAACATCCCCACACTCGACGCCTTCAAAAGGCCCTCAAGTCCCATCTGTTTGCCAAGGCTTTCGGCCCCTAATCGATCTGTTGTTTTGTTATGTTTGTTTTTGCCCTATTACTGTAAAGCGACCTTGGGTCCTTTGAAAGGCGCTATATAAATGCAAGCTATTATTATTATTATTATTATTATTATCTCTGTGTGCAATAAATCAAATCAACAGGTGAGAGTTAAAGGGGACCTATCATGCAAAATGCACTTGTGCACGTCTTTTCTACATGAATATGTGTCCCCGGTGTTCCAGGGAACTCACCAAGTGTCAGAAAACACAACCCTCTCTATTTTCCTCCATACCCAAATCTCTAAAAAAGGGGCTGCAACGGATCTGATAAAAACTGATCCAGATTTGAACACTGTCCTGACGTCAGGACGGTGGCGCTACGGCTATTGGGCCAACTCTCCACCAATCAGGAGGAGACAGCCACGGCCATTGCCGCTCGAAAGCGCTGGAGACGCTGTAGTACATATGCCAGGCCTGTAAGTGGCGCTGTAGTCTGCCACAAAAGCAGCGAAGAAGACTTCCCGCCCATAGTTACCATGGTTACCCTTCTGTTTATTCTCCGCTGTGGCTTTCTTTCTCCCTCCCCGAGGCAAGCGTTTGCTCCCGCTGCTTTAATTCAATGCAATCCCTCCCCGTCGAGGCAAGCACTGTAATTCTCTCCGGTTAGTCCACCAGCAGATGACAAACACCCACCTCTCCGCCTCTTCCAAGGAACGAGGGGACCGTGCGGCAGAGTTTCAGTTTCAGTTTCTTTCGCCGGTCAAGATGTCCGTTAAAGTTTAAATCTTCCGGACAAAATTAGAAAAGTGCCGGTCAAAGGTCTTCTTTGTTATTGAGCTTTAAAACAAATGAATAACGACTTTATATAATAAAACACGGAGGACGGAGATCTCTTTTTCTCCCCCTCTTCTGACAGCCCAGCAGCTGATCAGAGCACGTCTCCCCTCTCCTGCAGGGGGGCGTGGTCAGCAGCTGATCAGAGCACGTCTCCCCTCTCCTGCAGGGGGGCGTGGTCAGCAGAATCAGACCCGTAGACAGCAAACAGCACATAGAGCGAAATGAGGCATGGCTAAAATGCATGATCTGTTTGGTATTTTGAAAACAGAAACGTATAAATATACCTTATATAGGTATGGCCCTACAATATATCATTTCCATATAGCATGATAGGTTTCCTTTAAAGAAGAGGCTCAACAGGGGAGAGTTTCATTATTATTTATTGTTTGTGGTTGGAGGCCCACGGACACTCAGCGTTCTCCTTCCAGCTCGCCTCCTGAGAGTCGTACACCTCCTGCAGGAGCACAACACATCAATATCAGGTGTTAACAACAGGTGTTAGTAACAGGTGTTAGTAACAGGTGTTAACAACAGGTGTTAACAACAGGTGTTAACAACAGGTGTTAGTAACAGGTGTTAGTAACAGGTGTTAGTAACAGGTGTTAGTAACAGGTGTTAGTAACAGGTGTTAACAACAGGTGTTAACAACAGGTGTTAACAACAGGTGTTAACAACAGGTGTTAATAACAGGTGTTAGTAACAGGTGTTAGTAACAGGTGTTAGTAACAGGTGTTAACAACAGGTGTTAACAACAGGTGTTAACAACAGGTGTTAACAACAGGTGTTAATAACAGATGTTAGTAACAGGTGTTAACAACAGGTGTTAACAACAGGTGTTAACAACAGCTGTTAGTAACAGGTGTTAGTAACAGGTGTTAGTAACAGGTGTTAGTAACAGGTGTTAGTAACAGGTGTTAGTAACAGGTGTTAACAACAGGTGTTAACAACAGGTGTTAATAACAGGTGTTAGTAACAGGTGTTAATAAGAGCTGTTAATAACAGGTGATAATAACAGGTGTTAATAATAGGTGTTAATAACAGGTGATAATAACAGGTGTTAATAACAGGTGATAATAACAGGTGTTAATAACAGGTGTTAATAACAGGTGATAATAACAGGTGTTAATAACAGGTGATAATAACAGGTGTTAATAACAGGTGTTAATAACAGGTGATAATAACAGATGTTAATAACAGGTGATAATAACAGGTGTTAATAACAGGTGTTAATAACAGGTGATAATAACAGGTGTTAATAACAGGTGTTAATAACAGGTGTTAATAAGAGCTGTTAATAACAGGTGATAATAATAGGTGTTAATAACAGGTGATAATAACAGGTGTTAATAACAGGTGATAATAACAGGTGTTAATAACAGGTGTTAATAACAGGTGATAATAACAGATGTTAATAACAGGTGTTTCTCAGACCTTCTTCCAGACGGGCAGCCTTGCCTTCAGCTGTTCGACCGCCTGTTGCATCGCCTGCTGGCCGTCATGGCGATGAGGAGACGAGATCGCCATGACAACGCTGGCCTCGCCCACCTTCACCCACCTGAGGTGAGAACATCTTAGCATTAGCAGTTAGCATCCATAGCTTAAACACGTCTGCAGGTTTACCACCGTTAGCATTAGCAGTTAGCATCCTAAGCTTAAACACGTCTGCAGGTTAACCACCGTTAGCATTAGCAGTTAGCATCCGTAGCTTAAACACGTCTGCAGGTTAACCACCGTTAGCATTAGCAGTTAGCATCCGTAGCTTAAACACGTCTGCAGGTTAACCACCGTTAGCATTAGCAGTTAGCATCCTAAGCTTAAACACGTCTGCAGGTTAACCACCGTTAGCATTAGCAGTTAGCATCCCACCCCAGCCGGTGGTGAACGCAGACGTGCGTCACGCTGGGCCAGCGCTCTCTGATGACATCACACAGCTTCCTGAACTCTGATTGGGCCATGGGCTCGTACGCCTCGTACTCCAGACCAATCACCTTCCTGCCGTTCAGCACGTCCTCCCGGGTCGTACCTGCACAGGTGAGAGGAAACAATAACACCATTAATAATATTAATGCTAATACTAATATTATTATAATATTATATTTATTAACCTATAAACACTGAGGTGGCTCCACAGGAAGCGCTGCTGACGGCGTCCACCACTTCCTGTACAGACAGCCAATCACGGCACAGCTTCAAGACGTCTCTGGGCGGCTCCACCATCTGGGGTCAAATATTATAAATAAAGATTTAATAATGTAATCATACAGGTGTGTGTGAGACAGCAGGTGTGATCATACAGGTGTGTGTGTGTGAGACAGCAGGTGTGATCATACAGGTGTTTGTGAGAGCCTCTCACCTTTAACCCCCGCTCAGCGGCGGCACCACGGCAACCTCGTCTCCGTCGCCAAGGGCAACCAGCTCGTCACCGATGGCCACGTACTGCTGACGTACCGCCAACACCACCTGATGCTGCAGCACACACAACCTGCACACACACACACATCATATACACACACACACACACATCATATACATCAGTGTGGCAGCAGGGGGGGTAAGAGCGCCAGCTGCTGGGGTGATGGAGAGGCTCAGACAGCTGATCAGAATCAGGTGATCAGACTCTCAGTAAAGCGTGTGGTACCCTGGTTCTGACACACTATATACATTACACACACATCATATACACACACACATATTATATACACACACAACCTGCACACACACACCTGGGGTGTCGCTGTAGCAACAGGCTCCAGAGGTCCTGGCTACTGATTGGTGTTGGTACGGCAACAAGCTCCTCCTCCTTCAGTCCGCTCAGCTCCGCGCTCTTAGCGAAGTACAGCACTGTCACCTGAGGTCATGTTAATAACATATGAGTTACATACTAGTTATTACATATGAGTTACATAATAGTTATTACATACTAGTTACTACATGTGAGTTACATACTAGTTATTACATATGAGTTACATACTAGTTATTACATATGAGTTACATAATAGTTATTACATACTAGTTATTACATGTGGGTTACATACTAGTTATTACATATGAGTTACATACTAGTTATAACTATACTAGTTATTACATATGAGTTACATACTAGTTATAACTATACTAGTTATTACATATGACTTACATACTAGTTATAACATACCAGTTATTAAAGATGAGTTACATACTAGTTATTACATACTAGTTATTACATATGAGTTACATACTAGTTATTACATACCAGTTATTACATACTAGTTATTACATACTAGTTATTACATGAGTTATTACATATGAGTTATACTAGTTATTACATACCAGTTATTACATACCCGTTATTACATACGAGTTACATACTAGTTATTACATACTAGTTATTACATACTAGTTATTACATACCAGTTATTACATACTAGTTATTACATACTAGTTATTACATGAGTTATTACATATGAGTTATACTAGTTATTACATACCAGTTATTACATACCCGTTATTACATACGAGTTACATACTAGTTATTACATACTAGTTATTACATATGAGTTACATACTAGTTATTACATACTAGTTATTACATACCAGTTATTACATACTAGTTATTAAATATGAGTTACATACTAGTTATTACATGTGAGTTATACTAGTTATTACATACCAGTTATTACATACTAGTTATTACATACTAGTTATTACATATGAGTTACATACTAGTTATTACATGTGAGTTACATACCAGTTATTACATACCAGTTATTACATATGAGTTACATACTAGTTATTACATGTGAGTTACATACTAGTTATAACTATACTAGTTATTACATATGAGTTACATACTAGTTATAACTATACTAGTTATTACATATGAGTTACATACTAGTTATTACATGTGAGTTATACTAGTTATTGCATACTAGTTATTACATACCAGTTATTACATGAGTTATTATATGTGAGTTACATACCAGTTATGACATACTAGTTATGACATACTAGTTATGACATACTGGTTATTACATACTAGTTATTACATATGAGTTACATACTAGTTATTACATACTAGTTATTACATACTAGTTATTACATATGAGTTACATACTAGTTATTACATACCAGTTATTATATACCAGTTATTACATACCAGTTATTACATGTGAGTTACATACTAGTTATTACATACTAGTTATTACATACCAGTTATTACATACTAGTTATTACATACTAGTTATTACATATGAGTTACATACTAGTTATTACATACCATTTATTACATACTAGTTATCAGTTACATACTAGTTATAACTATACTAGTTATTACATATGAGTTACATACTAGTTATTACATGTGAGTTACATACTAGTTATTACATACTAGTTATTACACACTAGTTATAACTATACTAGTTATAACTATACTAGTTATTAAAGATGAGTTACATACTAGTTATTACATACTAGATATTACATATGAGTTACATACTAGTTATTACATGTGAGTTACATACTAGTTATTACATGTGAGTTACATACCAGTTATTACATACCAGTTATTACATACTAGTTATTACATGAGTTATTACATATGAGTTACATACTAGTTATTGCATACTAGTTATTACATACCAGTTATTACATACTAGTTATTACATGAGTTATTACATGTGAGTTACATACCAGTTATTACATACCAGTTATTACATACTAGTTATTACATGAGTTATTACATGTGAGTTACATACCAGTTATTACATACCAGTTATTACATACTAGTTATTACATGAGTTATTACATATGAGTTACATACTAGTTATTGCATACTAGTTATTACATACCAGTTATTACATACTAGTTATTACATGAGTTATTACATGTGAGTTACATCCCAGTTATTACATACTAGTTATGACATACTAGTTATGACATACGAGTTACATACTAGTTATTACATACTAGTTATTACATACTAGTTATTACATATGAGTTATGACATACTAGTTATTACATATGAGTTACATACTAGTTATTACATACCAGTTATTACATACTAGTTATTACATGTGAGTTACATACTAGTTATTACATACCAGTTATTACATACCAGTTATTACATACTAGTTATTACATATGAGTTACATACTAGTTATTACATACTAGTTATTACATACTAGTTATTACATATGAGTTACATACTAGTTATTACATACTAGTTATTACATAACAGTTATTACATACTAGTTATTACATGTGAGTTACATACTAGTTATTACATACCAGTTATTACATACCAGTTATGACATACTAGTTATGACATACTAGTTATTACATGTGAGTTACATACTAGTTATTACATACCAGTTATTACATACCAGTTATTACATACTAGTTATTACATACTAGTTATGACATACTAGTTATTACATATGAGTTACATACTAGTTATTAGTTATTACATACTAGTTATTACATATGAGTTACATACTAGTTATTACATACTAGTTATTACATACTAGTTATAACGTGTTCACATAAATATATGTGTGTTGTTTCAAATTATATAACTTGAATCATCTGATACATTCATATTATTCAATTATTCAATGTGACACACAGGCACACACACACGCACACACACGTACACACACACACAGGCACACAGACACACACACAGACACTATAGAGATCTATATACATCTCTCAACGTGTAGAGATCTATGGATACATCTCTACATCTCAACATAAATGGTGATCAAACAGTTTTGAGACCCACTTAGACTAAAGTGAACACGTTATCACACACACACACACAACACAACACACACACAACACACACACAACACACACACACACACACACCACACACCACACACACACACACACAACACACACACACACACACACCACACACACACACACACACACACACACACACACACACACACACACACACACACACACACACACGTGAGGGTCGTCCATACATGTATTCAAATATAATTGGTCTTCAGATGTAACATCCGGGACACTGAGCCCCTCAGGAGAGCTCTCCTGCTCTCAGGTGAGCTCTCGCGCTCTCGGGTAAACTCACCTGTGCCGTCATGAAGAAACTTGAAGATTTTCCTCCAACTGTTGACAGCTGACTTCCGGCTCCTCTTCTTCTTCTTTTATCTCTATTGACGTTTATTTGAGATTTCCCGCCACCTAGTGGACCGGAAGGCCATTATTCTTCCGGCTCTTAACGTAAATAAACCTTATTATTTTAATCAGTAAAATATGGGGTTATCCAAAGCTTTTAATCAAAGGATTATTTATATTTTCGGCTTTGATTTGAAAGGTTTCTTTTCCTAAATCTCCACGCACGGTGTGTTTTATTCTGGAAAACCCTCCCGGAAGTCGGTGTGTTTTATTGTGAAACCCCCCCAGATGTGTGTGTGTTAGCTGTTAGCTTGACGCCGGTGCGACATAGCTCCGGATCCTCTGCAGATAAACAGCACTTTGTTCCTCTTCCCGTCGCTAACGCCTCTAACATGAGAGACAGGACGGTCTGACGGAGACTAGCCGACCCACCGGGGCTCCAACAGGTAACACAAACCCTTTACATGTCCCGGTTTAAACAGTGAAGCTAAGCTAAGCTAGCTCGATCACTTTACCTTTATTTACCCAAATCCCGTTAAATCACGTTTTATCCTCACTTCTCCCGCACTAATCCCGTTCTCCTTGGCGTGACGTCACTCTAATAACCCGTTAATCAGTTGATCAACACATTCTCAGGTTTGGGGGATTCTTACAGCGAGCATGGCGAAGTCTCGCGAGATCAGCTCATTTATTATCTCATTTATTTAATAATAAATACATTTGATTTCACTTTGGTGACTTGTTGTTCTTGTTGAAAGCACCAACTGAATATTTGTAATTTCCATTTCCTTACATTTAAACTTTAGTGTAAGTCAGAGAGAACTTCTTCCTCAGATTCAGTTTATTAAACTGATTAATAAACTGATTAATACCAGGTGATTAAAGCTGATTAATACCAGGCTAAAGGGCCCATGTCATGCTTTTCTGGTTATTACCCGTCCCCTTGTGTAGCGGCCAAAATCATATAGAAATAAAACAGATAATTAACTCATAATACAGCCGCTGAGGCACTTGTTAGCAGAGCTTACGCAGGGCAATGATCCAGGTCCAGACAAGAGTCTCTGTTTGTGCATTTGATTATGATCCAATATCATTCAACAGGTTTCCTATGGCTTGTTCCTTAAAGTGGACCTATCATGCTATATTTAAATGATATATTGTAGGGCCATACCTATATAAGGTATATTTATACGTTTCTGTTTTCAAAATACCAAACAGATCCTGCATTTTAGCCATGCCTCATTTCGCTCTATGTGCTGTTTGCTGTCTACGGGTCTGATTCTGCTGACCACGCCCCCCTGCAGGAGAGGGGAGACGTGCTCTGATCAGCTGCTGGGCTGTCAGAAGAGGGGGAGAAAAAGAGATCTCCGTCCTCCGTGTTTTATTATATAGAGTCGTTATTCATTTGTTTTAAAGCTCAATAAATAACAAAGACCTTTGACCGGCTCTTTTCTCATTTTGTCCGGAAGATTTAAACTTTAACGGACATCTTGAGCGGCGAAAGAAACTGAAACTGAAACTCTGCCGCACGGTCCCCTGGTTCCTTGGAAGAGGCGGAGAGGTGGGTGTTTGTCATCTGCTGGTGGACTAACCGGAGAGAATTACAGTGCTTGCCTCGACGGGGAGGGATTGCATTGAATTAAAGCAGCGGGAGCAAACCTTGCCTCGGGGAGGGAGAAAGAAAGCCACAGCGGAGAATAAACAGAAGGGTAACCATGGTAACTATGGGCGGGGAGTCTTCTTCGCTGCTTTTGTGGCAGACTACAGCGCCACTTACAGGCCTGGCTTATGTACTACAGCGTCTCCAGCGCTTTCGAACGGCAATGGCCGGCCGTGGCCCAACCCCACATTCCCCTGATTGGTGGAGTTGGCCCAATAGCCGTAGCGCTACCGTCCTGACGTCAGGACAGTGTTCAAATCTGGATCAGTTTTTATCAGATCCGTTGCAGCCCCTTTTTTTGAGATTTGAAAATAGAGAGGGTTGTGTTTTCTGACACTTGGTGAGTTCCCTGGAACACCGGGGACACATATTCATGTAGAAAAGACGTACACAAGTGCATTTTGCATGATAGGTCCCCCCCTCACCTGAATACAGATTTGACTTCATGTTTTCATAAATATATTTTTCTCCCAGTTTGTCATGGGACTTATTTTTACCCTCTCAACGAACCGGAATCGAGAACCGAAAAGAACCGGAATTGAAAAGCATAACCGGAATCGTTCAAATCCAAACGATACCCATCCCTATGTGTGATGCAGTAAAATCTTATCGTAAAAACCGTGGGAAAATGTAAAATACGATGCCGATCGATTTTTCTGGACAAGTGAAAAATGTATTCGGACAAGTACTCTCTAAAAACGTTTTCTTACACTGTGACTCATGCCAGGGTTCAGGACTCATAATGCCGACTCATGTCAGGGTTTAGGACTCATAATGCTGACTCATGTCAGGGTTTAGGACTCATAATGCTGACTCATGCCAGGGTTCAGGACTCATAATGCTGACTCATGTCAGGGTTTAGGACTCATAATGCTGACTCATGTCAGGGTTCAGGACTCATAATGCTGACTCATGCCAGGGTTCAGGACTCATAATGCTGACTCATGTCAGGGTTTAGGACTCATAATGCTGACTCATGCCAGGGTTCAGGACTCATAATGCTGACTCATGCCAGGGTTCAGGACTCATAATGCTGACTCATGTCAGGGTTTAGGACTCATAATGCTGACTCATGCCAGGGTTCAGGACTCATAATGCTGACTCATGCCAGGGTTCAGGACTCATAATGCTGACTCATGTCAGGGTTTAGGACTCATAATGCTGACTCATGTCAGGGTTCAGGACTCATAATGCTGACTCATGCCAGGGTTCAGGACTCATAATGCTGACTCATGCCAGGGTTCAGGACTCATAATGCTGACTCATGTCAGGGTTTAGGACTCATAATGCTGACTCATGCCAGGGTTCAGGACTCATAATGCTGACTCATGCCAGGGTTCAGGACTCATAATGCTGACTCATGTCAGGGTTTAGGACTCATAATGCTGACTCATGCCAGGGTTCAGGACTCATAATGCTGACTCATGCCAGGGTTCAGGACTCATAATGCTGACTCATGCCAGGGTTCAGGACTCATAATGCTGACTTATGCCAGGGTTCAGGACTCATAATGCTGACTCATGTCAGGGTTTAGGACTCATAATGCTGACTCATGTCAGGGTTCAGGACTCATAATGCTGACTCATGTCAGGGTTTAGGACTCATAATGCTGACTCATGTCAGGGTTTAGGACTCATAATGCTGACTCATGTCAGGGTTCAGGACTCATAATGCTGACTCATGCCAGGGTTCAGGACTCATAATGCTGACTCATGCCAGGGTTCAGGACTCATAATGCTGACTTATGCCAGGGTTCAGGACTCATAATGCTGACTCATGCCAGGGTTCAGGACTCATAATGCTGACTCATGTCAGGGTTTAGGACTCATAATGCTGACTCATGTCAGGGTTCAGACTCATAATGCTGACTCATGTCAGGGTTTAGGACTCATAATGCTGACTCATGTCAGGGTTCAGACTCATAATGCTGACTCATGCCAGGGTTCAGGACTCATAATGCTGACTCATGCCAGGGTTCAGGACTCATAATGCTGACTCATGTCAGGGTTTAGGACTCATAATGCTGACTCATGTCAGGGTTCAGGACTCATATGCTGACTCATGTCAGGGTTCAGGACTCATAATGCTGACTCATGTCAGGGTTTAGGACTCATAATGCTGACTCATGTCAGGGTTTAGGACTCATAATGCTGACTCATGTCAGGGTTCAGACTCATAATGCTGACTCATGTCAGGGTTCAGGACTCATAATGCTGACTCATGTCAGGGTTCAAACTCATAATGCTGACTCATGTCAGGGTTCAGACTCATAATGCTGACTCATGTCAGGGTTCAGACTCATAATGCTGACTCATGTCAGGGTTTAGGACTCATAATGCTGACTCATGTCAGGGTTCAGGACTCATAATGCTGACTCATGTCAGGGTTCAGACTCATAATGCTGACTCATGTCAGGGTTCAGACTCATAATGCTGACTCATGTCAGGGTTCAGACTCATAATGCTGACTCATGTCAGGGTTCAAACTCATAATGCTGACTCATGTCAGGGTTCAGACTCATAATGCTGACTCATGTCAGGGTTCAGACTCATAATGCTGACTCATGTCAGGGTTTAGGACTCATAATGCTGACTCATGTCAGGGTTCAGGACTCATAATGCTGACTCATGTCAGGGTTCAGACTCATAATGCTGACTCATGTCAGGGTTCAGACTCATAATGCTGACTCATGTCAGGGTTCAGACTCATAATGCTGATTCATGTCAGCAATGCTAACTCTGTCTCTCTCTCTGTTAGCGATGCTAACTCGCCCGCTGAATGAGAGCGCTGGCAGGGGGCGGGGCCTGGTGGAGGTGACTCCGCCTCCTGCTCTCCCATTGGCTGATGAGGTCACAAATGAGACACGAACAGGAGGTGGGTTCATTTTATATTTATTATTAGCATATTGTAAATTATTTAAATATGTATCTATTGTTTATTTATTCTACCGTACTTACTTTATACTCTTTACTCTTTTCTCTGTAAATGTTATTAAACAGTTGATTTCCTATTTTTACAGTTTCTCCTGCAGGAGTTTTCCTTCCGGCGCCCCGGAGCTCCTCTTCCTCCTCCTCTCCTCGTCCCCTAACTCCTCCCTCCTTCCTCTCCTCTCCTCGTCCCCTGACTCCTCCCTCCTTCCTCTCCTCTCCTCGTCCCCTGACTCCTCCCTCCTTCCTCTCCTCTCCTCGTCCCCTGACTCCTCCCTCCTTCCTCTCCTCTCCTCGTCATCCTCCTTTTATTTCTCTTTCTCCTCTTCATCACCACTCTTCTCCTCATTTTCCTCGTCCTCCACCTCCTCCTGTCTTTTTAAATCAATATCCTCCTCCTTCGTTTACTCCATCTTCTCCTGCCCCTCCCCATGTAGCCCCTCCCCCTGTAGCCCCTCCCACAGTAGCCCCTCTCCCAGTAGTAGCTCCACCCCCCATAGCTCCTCCCCCAGTAGTAGCCCCTCCCCATGTAGCTCCTCCCACAGTAGCCCTTCTCCCAGTAGTAGCTCCTCCCCCAGTAGCTCCTCCCACAGTAGCCCTTCTCCCAGTAGTAGCTCCTCCCCCTGTAGCTCCTCCCTGTGTAGTCCCTCCCCCTGTAGCTCCTCCCCCCTGCTCTTGCTCCTCCCTCCTCCCTCGTCTCCTCTCTGCTCACAGGATGGAGGTGCGGCGCCTCCTCAGAGGAGCGATGGCGTCTCTGGGCCGGAGGCTCGACTCTCTGGAGAGGAAGAGGAGGCGGAGCCTGAGGAGAGAAGAGGGAGGAGCCTCTTCATGTAGACCCGCCTCCTCAGGGTCCTCCTTGTGTAGCCCCGCCTCCTCAGGAGCCTCTTCATGTAGACCCGCCTCCTCAGGGGCCTCCTTGTGTAGCCCCGCCTCCTCAGGGGCTTCCTTGTATAGCCCTGCCTCCTCGTGTAGCCCCACCCACCTACTAACTGTGGCCTCATCAGGCACTGAAGAAGAGAGGAGGAGAGGCAAAGAGGGAGGAGCCTCCTCATGTAGCCCCGCCTCCTCAGGGGTGTCTTTGTGTAGCCCCGCCTCCTCAGGGGTGTCTTTGTGTAGCCCCGCCTCCTCAGGGGCCTCCTTCTGTAGCCCCGCCTCAGGGGCTTCATTGTGTAGCCCCGCCTCCTCGTGTAGCCCCGCCCACCTACTAACTGTGGCCTCATCAGGCACTGAGGAGGCCCCGTCCCTCTCCTCTCAGAGCCAATCAGAAGAGAGGAGGAGAGGCAAAGAGGGAGGAGCCTCCTCCTTTAGCGCCGCCTCCTCAGGGGCCTCCTCGTGTAGCCCCGCTCACCTGTCCCTCTCCTCTCTGAGCCAATCAGAAGAGAGGAGGAGGAGCCTATTAAAGGAGGAGGAGCTGAGGGGGAGGAAGAGGAAGAACCACCACAGAGGAAGAGAAGAGGAGGAAGAGGAGCATGGTGGGAGATTTGTTGGTCGCATGGCGGTCTTCTTCAGAGGAGAAGAGCCAATCACGTTGCACAAATTCAACCACAGGAAACACAGAAGGAGAGAGGAGGGAGAAACCGAACAATCACAGAAGGCCGTCAGTGTCGTCAGGCAGAATGGATTCAGAGCGCCGCCACACAGGTGCTTTCTTTTATTTATTGTTCACGTTTAAATCACATGATTAAATCACATGATTAAATCACATGTTTAATTCACATGTTTAAATCACATGTTTAAATCACATGATTAAAATCACATGTTTAAATCACATGATTAAATCACATGTTTAAATCACATGATTAAATCACATGTTTAAATCACATGATTACATCACATGTTTAAATCACATGATTACATCACATGTTTAAATCACATGTTTAAATCACATGATTAATTCACATGTTTAAATCACATGATTAAATCACATGTTTAAATCACATGTTTTAAATCACATGATTACATCACATGATTAAATCACATGTTTAAATCACATGTTTAAATCACATGTTTAAATCACATGATTAAATCACATGTTTAAATCACATGATTAAATCACATGATTAAATCACATGATTAAAATCACATGTTTAAATCACATGATTAAATCACATGTTTAAATCACATGATTACATCACATGATTAAATCACATGTTTAAATCACATGATTACATCACATGATTACATCACATGTTTAAATCACATGTTTAAATCACATGATTAAATCACATGATTACATCACATGTTTAAATCAAAACACTCTAAACACTCTAAACACCCAAAACAGCTGATTTATATAAATAAAATATAAATAAACATTTCTCCTCTCCTCCTCAGCTCATATTCCCAGCATGCCTTGCACGTCCTGCCGTCAACCCACAGCCAATCAGAAGCGCTGAACATCTCTTCAGGCCAATCAGAAGCGCTGAACATCTCTTCAGGCCAATCAGAAGCGCTGAACATCTCTTCAGGCCAATCAGAAGCCCTGAACATCTCTTCAGGCCAATCAGAAGCCCTGAACATCTCTTCAGGCCAATGGCGTTTCTCTGACCTCACTCCCTTCTCCTCCAATCACGGCGTTCTGCACATATGGAGCTTATACTCCTCCTCTTCCGGTTTTAGCCCCGCCCCCATGCTGCGGCTGTCAGCGGTTGCCGTGGAGACGCTGTCAGAGTGTGTTAGGGGCGGGGCTTATGGGAGTCCTCAGCGGCGCCTGAAGGACTGGACGGCCCCGCCCTCTCTGGGATCTGATCACTGGTTGGTCCATTCAAACTCATTCATATATATATATAGTATAATATAATAATTAATGTTTGTTTTGTTGTTATATTGACTCTTTATAGTTATTTTAATGAATAATGTGATGTTTTAATGTCTCTGCAGTTACATGAGAAAGCCTACACCCAGGTAAGCTTAATAAATGAACCAGATGTACTAATGATTGAACTGCAACTCAAATGTACTTCTTAGTTCATACTTCGTTGAAAGATAATATTAAAGCTTATTTTTAAAGGTTTTTATTCGTTTACGTTTTAGTGTTCCTAATCCTTTAAAAGTATTTCTGTGTTCTGCAGCCAACACTTTTCAGCCCGGCGACATCAGAAGCAGCGAGCCAATCACAGCTCTCGGAGCCTGCTCCTCCCCCGGCGACGGGATAAGCCCCTCCCCCTTTGTTCAGCCAATGGACTGCCTGCTCCGCTCGCCATCGACCAATCAGCAGCGAGCCCCGACTTCCTCCAGGTGCTTCTGTCGTTTCAAGAGACTTTAAAGGTCTCCTATCAAACAAAATGCACATAGTGATGTCTTCTCTACATCACCATGTGTCCCCGGTGTGTCAGGAGACTCTCTAAGTGATGTCTTCTCTACATCACCATGTGTCCCCGGTGTGTCAGGAGACTCTCAAAGTGATGTCTTCTCTACATCACCATGTGTCCCCAGTGTGTCAGGAGACTCACTAAGTGATGTCTTCTCTACATCACCATGTGTCCCCGGTGTGTCAGGAGACTCTCTAAGTGATGTCTTCTCTACATCACCATGTGTCCCCGGTGTGTCAGGAGACTCACTAAGTGATGTCTTCTCTACATCACCATGTGTCCCCGGTGTGTCAGGAGACTCACAAAGTGATGTCTTCTCTACATCACCATGTGTCCCCGGTGTGTCAGGAGACTCACTAAGTGATGTCTTCTCTACATCACCATGTGTCCCCGGTGTGTCAGGAGACTCACAAAGTGATGTCTTCTCTACATCACCATGTGTCCCCGGTGTGTCAGGAGACTCACTAAGTGATGTCTTCTCTACATCACCATGTGTCCCCGGTGTGTCAGGAGACTCACTAAGTGATGTCTTCTCTACATCACCATGTGTCCCCGGTGTGTCAGGAGACTCACTAAGTGATGTCTTCTCTACATCACCGTGTGTCCCCGGTGTGTCAGGAGACTCACTAAGTGATGTCTTCTCTACATCACCATGTGTCCCCGGTGTGTCAGGAGACTCACAAAGTGATGTCTTCTCTACATCACCGTGTGTCCCCGGTGTGTCAGGAGACTCACAAAGTGATGTCTTCTCTACATCACCGTGTGTCCCCGGTGTGTCAGGAGACTCACTAAGTGATGTCTTCTCTACATCACCATGTGTCCCCGGTGTGTCAGGAGACTCACTAAGTGATGTCTTCTCTACATCACCGTGTGTCCCCGGTGTGTCAGGAGACTCACTAAGTGATGTCTTCTCTACATCACCATGTGTCCCCGGTGTGTCAGGAGACTCACTAAGTGATGTCTTCTCTACATCACCATGTGTCCCCGGTGTGTCAGGAGACTCACTAAGTGATGTCTTCTCTACATCACCATGTGTCCCCGGTGTGTCAGGAGACTCACAAAGTGATGTCTTCTCTACATCACCGTGTGTCCCCGGTGTGTCAGGAGACTCACTAAGTGATGTCTTCTCTACATCACCGTGTGTCCCCGGTGTGTCAGGAGACTCACTAAGTGATGTCTTCTCTACATCACCGTGTGTCCCCGGTGTGTCAGGAGACTCACAAAGTGATGTCTTCTCTACATCACCGTGTGTCCCCGGTGTGTCAGGAGACTCACAAAGTGATGTCTTCTCTACATCACCGTGTGTCCCCGGTGTGTCCCCGGTGTGTCCCCGGTGTGTCCCCGGTGTATCCCCGGTGTATCCCCGGTGTGTCCCCGGTGTGTCCCCGGTGTGTCAGGAGACTCTCAAAGTGTCAGGAAATAAACCCCTCTCTCTTTTCCTCCGTACCCACATCTCTAAAAACGGGGGAACAACGGAGCTGATCCAGATTTGCTTCGTCATGACGACATTACTAAAATGTGGGCGGGCTTTACACCCACGGGCCAATCAGAAACGTTGCTGTCAGAAACAATGAGACGTGTTAGGGTTAGGGTTAGGGTTAGGGTTAGGGTACGTAATATGGACGTAATATGGTCTGTGTTTACATTAGCATGCTAACACTCAGAGCTAACCTGTACTGGAGAGAGCATGTGTGAAGAAGCAGGAAATCAAAAGGAAGTCACCTTGTGGTAAACCTGAGAGAGAGAAAGAGTTTGAGCTCCATACTGTTTCAGAGAGGATCCTTCATGTGGTTTGGAACATGATATGGAGTTTCATCACGGCAGCATTTAGCTGAGTTTCTGCTGGGAGAGTTCTCCTGATGAGATCTACTCTCTCTCTAAAGCTACTGACCCAGAGTCAGCTCTTTAGTAACAGCTGGGAGAGAGGGGGGGGGGGGGGGGCTACAAGGATCTGTTTGGGGTTTGGAGCAGGACACTTCAGAGACATGTCCTTAGTAACAGCTGGAAGAGAGAGGGGGGGGGCTACAAGGATCTGTTTGGGGTTTGGAGCAGGACACTTCAGAGACATGTCCTTAGTAACAGCTGGAAGAGAGGGGGGGGGGGCTACAAGGATCTGTTTGGGGTCTGGAGCAGGACACTTCAGAGACATGTCCTTAGTAACAGCTGGAAGAGAGGGGGGGGGGGGGCTACAAGGATCTGTTTGGGGTTTGGAGCAGGACACTTCAGAGACATGTCCTTAGTAACAGCTGGAAGAGAGAGGGGGGGGCTACAAGGATCTGTTTGGGGTTTGGAGCAGGACACTTCAGAGACATGTCCTTAGTAACAGCTGGAAGAGAGGGGGGGGGCTACAAGGGTCTGTTTGGGGTTTGGAGCAGGACACTTTAGAGACATGTCCTTAGTAACAGCTGGAAGAGAGGGGGGGGGGCTACAAGGGTCTGTTTGGGGTTTGGAGCAGGACACTTCAGAGACATGTCCTTAGTAACAGCTGGAAGAGAGGGGGGGGGGGGCTACAAGGGTCTGTTTGGGGTTTGGAGCAGGACACTTCAGAGACATGTCCTTAGTAACAGCTGGAAGAGAGGGGGGGGGGGCTACAAGGATCTGTTTGGGGTCTGGAGCAGGACACTTCAGAGACATGTCCTTAGTAACAGCTGGAAGAGAGGGGGGGGGGGCTACAAGGATCTGTTTGGGGTTTGGAGCAGGACACTTCAGAGACATGTCCTTAGTAACAGCTGGAAGAGAGGGGGGGGGGGCTACAAGGATCTGTTTGGGGTTTGGAGCAGGACACTTCAGAGACATGTCCTTAGTAACAGCTGGAAGAGAGAGGGGGGGGGCTACAAGGGTCTGTTTGGGGTTTGGAGCAGGACACTTCAGAGACATGTCCTTAGTAACAGCTGGAAGAGAGGGGGGGGGGGGCTACAAGGATCTGTTTGGGGTTTGGAGCAGGACACTTCAGAGACATGTCCTTAGTAACAGCTGGAAGAGAGGGGGGGGGGCTACAAGGGTCTGTCTGGGGTTTGGAGCAGGACACTTCAGAGACATGTCCTTAGTAACAGCTGGAAGAGAGAGGGGGGGGCTACAAGGATCTGTTTGGGGTTTGGAGCAGGACACTTCAGAGACATGTCCTTAGTAACAGCTGGGAGAGAGAGGGGGGGGGGCTACAAGGATCTGTTTGGGGTCTGGAGCAGGACACTTCAGAGACATGTCCTTAGTAACAGCTGGAAGAGAGGGGGGGGGGGGGGGCTACAAGGATCTGTTTGGGGTTTGGAGCAGGACACTTCAGAGACATGTCCTTAGTAACAGCTGGAAGAGAGGGGGGGGGGGGGGGGCTACAAGGATCTGTTTGGGGTTAGGAGCAGGACACTTCAGAGACATGTCCTTAGTAACAGCTGGAAGAGAGGGGGGGGGGCTACAAGGATCTGTTTGGGGTTTGGAGCAGGACACTTCAGAGACATGTCCTTAGTAACAGCTGGAAGAGAGGGGGGGGGGGCTACAAGGATCTGTTTGGGGTTTGGAGCAGGACACTTCAGAGACATGTCCTTAGTAACAGCTGGAAGAGAGGGGGGGGGGGCTACAAGGATCTGTTTGGGGTTTGGAGCAGGACACTTCAGAGACATGTCCTTAGTAACAGCTGGAAGAAAGGGGGGGGGGGGCTACAAGGATCTGTTTGGGGTTTGGAGCAGGACACTTCAGAGACATGTCCTTAGTAACAGCTGGAAGAGAGGGGGGGGGGGGGCTACAAGGATCTGTTTGGGGTTTGGAGCAGGACACTTCAGAGACATGTCCTTAGTAACAGCTGGAAGAAAGGGGGGGGGGGGCTACAAGGATCTGTTTGGGGTTAGGAGCAGGACACTTCAGAGACATGTCCTTAGTAACAGCTGGAAGAGAGGGGGGGGGGGGGGCTACAAGGATCTGTTTGGGGTTTGGAGCAGGACACTTCAGAGACATGTCCTTAGTAACAGCTGGAAGAGAGGGGGGGGGGCTACAAGGGTCTGTTTGGGGTTTGGAGCAGGACACTTCAGAGACATGTCCTTAGTAACAGCTGGAAGAGAGGGGGGGGGGGGGGGCTACAAGGATCTGTTTGGGGTCTGGAGCAGGACACTTCAGAGACATGTCCTTAGTAACAGCTGGAAGAGAGGGGGGGGGGCTACAAGGATCTGTTTGGGGTTAGGAGCAGGACACTTCAGAGACATGTCCTTAGTAACAGCTGGAAGAGAGGGGGGGGGGCTACAAGGATCTGTTTGGGGTTTGGAGCAGGACACTTCAGAGACATGTCCTTAGTAACAGCTGGAAGAGAGGGGGGGGGGGCTACAAGGATCTGTTTGGTGTTTGGAGCAGGACACTTCAGAGACATGTCCTTAGTAACAGCTGGGAGAGAGAGGGGGGGGGCTACAAGGATCTGTTTGGGGTTTGGAGCAGGACACTTCAGAGACATGTCCTTAGTAACAGCTGGAAGAGAGGGGGGGGGGGGCTACAAGGATCTGTTTGGTGTTTGGAGCAGGACACTTCAGAGACATGTCCTTAGTAACAGCTGGAAGAGAGAGAGAGAGGGGGGGGGGGCTACAAGGATCTGTTTGGGGTTTGGAGCAGGACACTTCAGAGACATGTCCTTAGTAACAGCTGGAAGAGAGGGGGGGGGGCTACAAGGATCTGTTTGGGGTCTGGAGCAGGACAGAGACATGTCTTTATATATTTTTATATATCTGAGACCTGTAACACCTGAGACCTGTAACACCTGAGACCTGTAACACCTGAGACCTGTAACACCTGAGACCTGTAACACCTGAGACCTGTAACACCTGAGACCTGTAACACCTGAGACCTGTAACACCTGAGACCTGTAACACCTGAGACCTGTAACACCTGAGACCTGTAACACCTGAGACCTGTAACATCTGAGACCTGTAACACCTGAGACCTGTAACACCTGAGACCTGTAACACCTGAGACCTGTAACACCTGAGACCTGTAACATCTGAGACCTGTAACATAACATCTGAGACCTGTAACACCTGAGACCTGTAACACCTGAGACCTGTAACACCTGAGACCTGTAACATCTGAGACCTGTAACACCTGAGACCTGTAACATCTGCCTAGAAAGGGTTCAATAGGAGCCCTTTGAAACCTCAGAAACACTGATCCTCCTCTTCTCTCCTCAGAAACGAGTCTCTCAGATCAGGATCAGACGCGCCTCACCACGAGACACTCTGCTCACTCCCATGGGTCTGCCCAGGGTCAAAAGGTGAGGGGGGACAGGTGAGAGGGGGGACAGGTGAGGGGGGGGGACAGGTGAGAGGGGGGACAGGTGAGAGGGGGGACAGGTGAGAGGGGGGACAGGTGAGAGGGGGGACAGGTGAGAGGGGGGACAGGTGAGAGGGGGGACAGGTGAGGGGGGGGACAGGTGAGAGGGGGGACAGGTGAGGGGGGGGACAGGTGAGAGGGGGACAGGTGAGAGGGGGGGACACAGTTTCCTCAGGTAAGGGGACTGGGTTAATATAAACTGAGTTCATTAATAACAACATTTAATTTGTTTAGGTTGAAGAAGAAGGAGTTCAGTCTGGAGGAGATCTACACCAACAAGAACTACAAATCCCCCTCAACCAACAGGTAAGAACTACAAACACCCACCTTAACACCAGAGACACAAACTACATGTCCCAGCATGCATCTGTGTGGCCCTGCAGGAGTCTGGAGACGATCTTCGAGGAGCCGCGGGAGAAGGACGGAGCGCTGCTGCTGATTGGCCAGCAGAGGAGGCGCAGGCTCCTCCTCTTTCCTGACTTCACTCAGCCCCGGAAGAGGAAGAGGCAGCAAGGTACTCTGGGAAATGTGGTTCTGCAGATCATTAAAAACAAAGATAGGAATGTGTGTAAAAGTTCCCAAAATAAACCGGGCTGTGTTTTAGGGGCGGGACTTCCTGTTGCCTTGGTGCCCAGGAAGCGGTTGGCAGCTCGTCGTCATGGTAACGGCGGAGACGAGGAGGCGGAGTCTGACGTGAAGCTGGTTCAGCGACTGAGCGCGCTCGAAGACTTCCTGACACAACAGGGCCTGGAGGTGTGACATCACTTCCTGTCAGCACACAAAGCTGCTAGCACGCTGCTAACGCTAAATTACCATGGAGACAACGCTGCGTTACCATGGAGACGCCGCTACGTTACCATGGAGACACTGCTGCGTTGCCGTGGAGACGCCGCTACGTTACCATGGAGACACCGCTGCATTACCGTGAAGACACTGCTGCGTTACATTGGAGACACCGCTGCGTTACCGTGGAGACACTGCTGCGTTACCGTGGAGACACTGCTGCGTTACCGTGGAGACACTGCTGCGTTACCGTGGAGACACTGCTGCGTTACCGTGGAGACACTGCTGCGTTACATTGGAGACACTGCTGCGTTACCGTGGAGACACTGCTGCGTTACATTGGAGACACTGCTGCGTTACCGTGGAGACACTGCTGCGTTACCGTGGAGACACCGCTGTTTGAGGTGTTTTTTTGGACAATTTAATATTTTTTAAATGTGAAATATTTAATATTTGTAAAGTTTCTGACCTGAAGCTCAGCGTCAGATCATCATAAACATCATGAGAGATATTATTAATAATAAAGGTCTTTATAAAACATACTGGAATCACTGGTTTTAAGTTATAAACACATATTTCATTTTAAGATATAAATAGCAGTTGGAGTGGAAGCAGGGGGGCTGTGATGGGGTCAAAGGTCATATAGGGGTTAGGGGTCAAAGGTCCTATAGGGGTTAGGGTTAGGAGGTCCAGATGGTGGTGTGGTGGGGGGAGGAGGTCCAGTTGGGGGGGGGGGGGGGGGGGAGAGACTCCTGGTGCTAGACTCCAGGTACTAGACTCCAGGTGCTAGACTCCTGGTGCTAGACTCCTGGTGCTAGACTCCTGGTTCTAGACTCCTGGTGCTAGACTCCTGGTGCTAGACTCCTGGCTCTAGACTCCTGGTACTAGACTCCTGGTGCTAGACTCCTGGTTCTAGACTCCTGGTTCTAGACTCCTGGTGCTAGACTCCTGGTGCTAGACTCCTGGTTCTAGACTCCTGGTTCTAGACTCCTGGTGCTACACTCCTGGTTCTAGACTCCAGGTACTAGACTCCTGGTGCTAGACTCCTGGTGCTAGACTCCTGGTTCTAGACTCCTGGTTCTAGACTCCTGGTGCTAGACTCCTGGTTCTAGACTCCTGGTGCTAGACTCCTGGTGCTAGACTCCAGGTGCTAGACTCCTGGTGCTAGACTCCTGGTGCTAGACTCCTGGTGCCAGACTCCTGGTGCTAGACTCCAGGTGCTAGACTCCAGGTGCTAGACTCCTGGTTCTAGACTCCTGGTGCTAGACTCCTGGTGCTAGACTCCAGGTGCTAGACTCCTGGTGCTAGACTCCTGGTGCTAGACTCCTGGTGCCAGACTCCTGGTGCCAGACTCCAGGTGCTAGACTCCAGGTGCTAGACTCCTGGTTCTAGACTCCTGGTGCTAGACTCCAGGTGCTAGACTCCTGGTGCTAGACTCCTGGTGCTAGACTCCTGGTTCTAGACTCCTGGTGCTAGACTCCAGGTGCTAGACTCCAGGTGCTAGACTCCTGGTGCTAGACTCCTGGTGCTAGACTCCTGGTTCTAGACTCCTGGTGCTAGACTCCTGGTGCTAGACTCCTGGCTCTAGACTCCTGGTACTAGACTCCTGGTGCTAGACTCCTGGTTCTAGACTCCTGGTTCTAGACTCCTGGTGCTAGACTCCTGGTGCTAGACTCCTGGTTCTAGACTCCTGGTTCTAGACTCCTGGTTCTAGACTCCAGGTACTAGACTCCTGGTGCTAGACTCCTGGTGCTAGACTCCTGGTTCTAGACTCCTGGTTCTAGACTCCTGGTGCTAGACTCCTGGTGCTAGACTCCTGGTTCTAGACTCCTGGTGCTAGACTCCTGGTGCTAGACTCCAGGTGCTAGACTCCTGGTGCTAGACTCCTGGTGCCAGACTCCTGGTGCTAGACTCCAGGTGCTAGACTCCAGGTGCTAGACTCCTGGTTCTAGACTCCTGGTGCTAGACTCCTGGTGCTAGACTCCAGGTGCTAGACTCCTGGTGCTAGACTCCTGGTGCTAGACTCCTGGTGCCAGACTCCTGGTGCCAGACTCCAGGTGCTAGACTCCAGGTGCTAGACTCCTGGTTCTAGACTCCTGGTGCTAGACTCCAGGTGCTAGACTCCTGGTGCTAGACTCCTGGTGCTAGACTCCTGGTTCTAGACTCCTGGTGCTAGACTCCAGGTGCTAGACTCCAGGTGCTAGACTCCTGGTGCTAGACTCCTGGTGCTAGACTCCTGGTTCTAGACTCCTGGTGCTAGACTCCTGGTGCTAGACTCCTGGCTCTAGACTCCTGGTGCTAGACTCCTGGTGCTAGACTCCTGATTCTAGACTCCTGGTGCTAGACTCCTGGTTCTAGACTCCTGGTTCTAGACTCCTGGTGCTAGACTCCTGGTGCTAGACTCCTGGTTCTAGACTCCTGGTGCTACACTCCTGGTTCTAGACTCCAGGTACTAGACTCCTGGTGCTAGACTCCTGGTGCTAGACTCCTGGTTCTAGACTCCTGGTGCTAGACTCCTGGTTCTAGACTCCTGGTGCTAGACTCCTGGTGCTAGACTCCAGGTGCTAGACTCCTGGTGCTAGACTCCTGGTGCTAGACTCCTGGTGCCAGACTCCTGGTGCTAGACTCCAGGTGCTAGACTCCAGGTGCTAGACTCCTGGTTCTAGACTCCTGGTGCTAGACTCCTGGTGCTAGACTCCAGGTGCTAGACTCCTGGTGCTAGACTCCTGGTGCTAGACTCCTGGTGCCAGACTCCTGGTGCCAGACTCCAGGTGCTAGACTCCAGGTGCTAGACTCCTGGTTCTAGACTCCTGGTGCTAGACTCCAGGTGCTAGACTCCTGGTGCTAGACTCCTGGTGCTAGACTCCTGGTTCTAGACTCCTGGTGCTAGACTCCAGGTGCTAGACTCCAGGTGCTAGACTCCTGGTTCTAGACTCCTGGTACTAGACTCCAGGTGCTAGACTCCTGGTGCTAGACTCCAGGTGCTAGACTCCTGGTGCTAGACTCCAGGTGCTAGACTCCTGGTGCTAGACTCCTGGTGCTAGACTCCTGGTGCCAGACTCCTGGTGCTAGACTACTGGTGCTAGACTCCTGGTGCCAGACTCCTGGTGCTAGACTCCTGGTGCTAGACTCCTGGTACTAGACTCCTGGTTCTAGACTCCTGGTGCCAGACTCCTGGTGCTAGACTACTGGTGCTAGACTCCTGGTGCTAGACTCCTGGTGCTAGACTCCTGGTGCTAGACTCCTGGTACTAGACTCCTGGTGCCAGACTCCTGGTGCTAGACTACTGGTGCTAGACTCCTGGTGCTAGACTCCTGGTTCTAGACTCCTGGTGCTAGACTCCTGGTTCTAGACTCCTGGTGCTAGACTCCTGGTGCTAGACTCCTGGTGCTAGACTCCTGGTAGACTCCTGGTGCTAGACTCCTGGTACTAGACTCCTGGTGCTAGACTCCTGGTGCTAGACTCCTGGGACTCCTGGTGCTAGACTCCTGGTTCTAGACTCCTGGTGCTAGACTCCTGGTTCTAGACTCCTGGTGCCAGACTCCTGGTGCTAGACTACTGGTGCTAGACTACTGGTGCTAGACTCCTGGGACTCCTGGTGCTAGACTCCTGGTGCTAGACTCCTGGTGCTAGACTCCTGGGACTCCTGGTACTAGACTCCTGGTGCTAGACTCCTGGTGCTAGACTCCTGGTGCTAGACTCCTGGGACTCCTGGTACTAGACTGCTGGTGCCAGACTCCTGGTGCCAGACTCCTGGTGCTAGACTCCTGGTGCTAGACTCCTGGGACTCCTGGTACTAGACTCCTGGTGCCAGACTCCTGGTGCTAGACTCCTGGTACTAGACTCCTGGTACTAGACTCCTGGGACTCCTGGTACTAGACTCCTGGTGCTAGACTCCTGGTACTAGACTCCTGGGACTCCTGGTACTAGACTCCTGGGACTCCTGGTACTAGACTCCTGGTGCTAGACTCCTGGTACTAGACTCCTGGGACTCCTGGTACTAGACTCCTGGGACTCCTGGTACTAGACTCCTGGTGCTAGACTCCTGGTACTAGACTCCTGGGACTCCTGGTACTAGACTCCTGGGACTCCTGGTACTAGACCCCTGGTGCTAGACTCCTGGTGCTAGACTCCTGGTGCTAGACTCCTGGTGCTAGACTCCTGGTGCTAGACTCCTGGTGCTAGACTCCTGGTACTAGACTCCTGGTACTAGACTCCTGGGACTCCTGGTACTAGACTCCTGGTGCTAGACTCCTGGTGCTAGACTCCTGGTTCTAGACTCCTGGTGCTAGACTCCTGGTACTAGACTCCTGGTGCTAGACTCCTGGTACTAGACTCCTGGTGCTAGACTCCTGGTACTAGACTCCTGGGACTCCTGGTACTAGACTCCTGGGACTCCTGGTACTAGACTCCTGGTGCTAGACTCCTGGTTCTAGACTCCTGGTGCTAGACTCCTGGTACTAGACTCCTGGTGCTAGACTCCTGGTGCTAGACTCCTGGGACTCCTGGTACTAGACTCCTGGGACTCCTGGTACTAGACTCCTGGTGCTAGACTCCTGGTTCTAGACTCCTGGTGCTAGACTCCTGGTGCTAGACTCCTGGTTCTAGACTCCTGGTGCTACACTCCTGGTTCTAGACTCCAGGTACTAGACTCCTGGTGCTAGACTCCTGGTGCTAGACTCCTGGTTCTAGACTCCTGGTGCTAGACTCCTGGTTCTAGACTCCTGGTGCTAGACTCCTGGTGCTAGACTCCAGGTGCTAGACTCCTGGTGCTAGACTCCTGGTGCTAGACTCCTGGTGCTAGACTCCTGGTGCTAGACTCCAGGTGCTAGACTCCAGGTGCTAGACTCCTGGTTCTAGACTCCTGGTGCTAGACTCCTGGTGCTAGACTCCAGGTGCTAGACTCCTGGTGCTAGACTCCTGGTGCTAGACTCCTGGTGCCAGACTCCTGGTGCCAGACTCCAGGTGCTAGACTCCAGGTGCTAGACTCCTGGTTCTAGACTCCTGGTGCTAGACTCCAGGTGCTAGACTCCTGGTGCTAGACTCCTGGTGCTAGACTCCTGGTTCTAGACTCCTGGTGCTAGACTCCAGGTGCTAGACTCCAGGTGCTAGACTCCTGGTTCTAGACTCCTGGTACTAGACTCCAGGTGCTAGACTCCTGGTGCTAGACTCCAGGTGCTAGACTCCTGGTGCTAGACTCCAGGTGCTAGACTCCTGGTGCTAGACTCCTGGTGCTAGACTCCTGGTGCCAGACTCCTGGTGCTAGACTCCTGGTGCCAGACTCCTGGTGCTAGACTCCTGGTGCTAGACTCCTGGTACTAGACTCCTGGTTCTAGACTCCTGGTGCCAGACTCCTGGTGCTAGACTACTGGTGCTAGACTCCTGGTGCTAGACTCCTGGTGCTAGACTCCTGGTGCTAGACTCCTGGTACTAGACTCCTGGTGCCAGACTCCTGGTGCTAGACTACTGGTGCTAGACTCCTGGTGCTAGACTCCTGGTTCTAGACTCCTGGTGCTAGACTCCTGGTTCTAGACTCCTGG